CTGTTGGACGCGGCTGCTCGCAGCCTGACGTACAAATCACAGCCTGGTTGATCAGGTATCCTTTGGAGGTGTTTATTCAGTTCTCTCTTGAACACTGTGAGGGATCGGCTAGTTATACCCCCTTATGTGTAGTGGAAGCGTGTTGAACAGTCTCGGGCCGCAAAAGAGTTCTCTCTCAGAGTACCTGTTGCACCTCTGCTCTTCAACGGGGGTATTCTGCACATCCTGCCATGCCTCCTGGTCTCATGTGATGTTATTTCTGTGTGCAGGTTTGGGACCAGCCCCTCTTATTATTTTCCACGTGTAAATTATTATGTATCGCTCCCGCCTGCGCTTAAGGGAATACAGATTTATGCTCTTTAGTCGGTCCCAATCGACTTGAGAATGGTCCAGGACGGACCGAAACGTCGTCGTCCCTTCAATTTCTAGTGTGTGGTCTGGTCAACATACTTCAGCCACGTTATTGTGACTCATCGCCTGCATCGGTCCCAATAGTTTAGATATTTTACTGAGTGGATTCTAGCAGTAAAGGATCTCTGCACGCTCTCCAGGTCGTTCTGTCCCCCCCTTTCCGTCACTGCGCTGCTCTTGCCCTGTTTCAATCTCACCCGTAAGTATGCACGGATACAAACAACACAAGTTTATATAAGAATTGTGTATTCGAATTCTGGCCTGCTCTTTCTGAGAGGGGATATACGCACTCACGTCATGACATTCCCCACAGCGGTTCCATTACCTCATTTGTGCCCCCGCACGCTCCCTTGTACTTTCACAAGTATTTACACACATGGCACTTACATTCGCGCTCACTCGTGTCCACGCATCTACGTGCGACTTATATTCAAGCGCAATAACAAGTTGGTGGAGCGAGAGATGTGGTAGGGGGTGTAGAATAGGCCTAGTGAATAGTTCACGTGCCAGAGGGCCCAATCAGTGGCCAGTGTATGGACATCAGAAGCCCGCGGGGTTTCAATCATGTTCCGCCAAAATATAAGAAATATTGCCTGAAGGGAAGGGAACTATCAGGAAAATATTACCTGAACAAAAGTGGAATTTTTGCAGCGGGGGTTGGACAGGTTCATGCAGGAAGTGTCCCATCAGCCAGATTGTTTAATTGTCCGCACAATGCATACGAAAGGAATACGTGGCAAAGTAGTTAGATACATTGTTGATTAACTAACAGAAAAAAAAGATTAATGGTCTACAAAGTAAAATCCAGATCAACCATCATGGAAAGCTGTCCTCCCTCCCCCCAGGTACTTGACCCAGTACTCTCATTCTCATATCAGACTGAGGACACAAGCTATAGTACTGTATCATCCTTTGCAGATCACATTAGTATTTTTGAGGACACAGCAGACCTCCAAACTGATGCAAACCATTCTTTCAATGGGCCTTGGAAAATACGGGAAGAGAGAGGACCGTCGACCGCGTGTTCAAAATTGCGAAGAACTGGATCCGAACACGTCTCAGACGATACTTGGGCGACGCCCAATATAAACCAGCGCGAAGGAGTTGTTTTTAGATTCAGCAACTTGATGCAAAAAGTTACAAGCAGCACGGGCTATGGTGAGCCCGTCGTACTCACCTGGCACAGATGTGCGGCGAGGGAGCGCTCAGTGTTTGCAAACAACGTTTCAACAATAGTGATATTAAAAGGGAGCAAAACATATTCTTATAAATAACCTAGATATATATTCTAAATAAATCTGTATACAACCCCGAAACTTTTTTTGTAAGCTAAATTAATTATTAATGTGCAGTTATCTATACAGTATTTAATTGAATTTTATAATCTAATGTATATATATAAAATATAATGCCTGACGATTATATATTTATGGTTTATGTTGCTTGTAATTCACAGGCTACGTTATACACGTGTTTGGTTTAATCTATGCAAGTCTATATTTTGTTTCTGTTGCTGTCTTTGGGTGCTGCTGCTTCTACTGTTGCTCACAGGTCGAGCCGGGCCCCGAGCCGGGCCCCGAGCCGGGCCCCGAGCCGGGCCCCGAGCCGGGCCCCGAGCCGGGCTTGGGGAATAGAACAACTCCCAGAACACCATCCAAGTATAATCCAGGTGCTGCTTCTGTTGTGGTTGCTGCTTCAGCGATCGTTGTCTGTTGTGGCTGCTGCTGCAGAGATCGCTGTCTGCTGTGGCTGCTGCTACCGCAGACATCGCTGTCTGTTGTGGCTGCTGCTACCGTTGTCTGTTGACCGTTGTCTGTTGTAGCTGCTGCTGATGCAGTGACTGTTGTCTGTTGTGGCTGTTGCTGCAGCGACCGTTGTCTGTTGTGGCTGTTGCTGCAGCGACCGTTGTCTGTTGTGGCTGTTGCTGCAGCGACCGTTGTCTGTTGTGGCTGCTGCTGCAGCAATTGTTCTTTGTTGTGGCTGCTGCTGACTTATTGTTGCATATAGTAGCCAGTTACTACTATATGCGGTGCCGGTACCTCAGCCATATGCCGTTGTTTCAACTACTACCTCTTAACTTTGTCTCTGACAAAAAGAAAAGTGTATAGCAGGGGTGACACTCGGTACTTCTCGGTTACTGTATGGCAACTGGGGATTGTTATGTGATAGTGAGGTATTGGCTGGCATGTGGTGGGCACTAGTGATGTAACAAGTACCGGGTAATGCCAGGCACGAATGAGGCAAAGCTAAAATGTGACCACCAAAGGGTGGGGCATCATACAAAACGCAGTAAAATCATAACCTAGAACGAAAAAAACAATGTAAAGGATTTGGGTGTACTCATAAGAACATAAGAATAAAGGTAACTGCAGAAGGCCTATTGGCCCATACGAGGCAGCTCCTATCCACCCAATCCCACTACATACAAAGATTAATCAGGTGTACTGTAATTGACCTGTTATGTTGAACAGTGTCTTCTGTGTTGGCATCGTTATGTTCTGGTCTTGTTCTTACTCTCATGGTGGGTAATAGTATTCCGACTCGTGTCGGAATACGTTACCTTTTAAAAAACACAATAAAGTAGCCGTCACAACTGCAAGAAAAATGACAGGTAGGATAACAAGAGCCTTTCAAACTAGAGACACTATACGAATGATGATATTCAAGACGCCAGTGCTCTCTAGAGTGGAATACTGTTGCACAATGACAACCCCTTTCAAAGCTGCAGAAATTGTTGGCCTTGGAGTGCAGGCATAGATCCATTACTGCTAGAATCCATTCAGTAAAACATCTAAATTTTTGGGACCGGCTAAAATGCCTAAATCTGTGTTCTTTTGAGCGTAGGCGGGAGAGATACATATAATTTAAAAGTAGAAAATAGTAGCGGAGGCTGGTCCCAAGCCTGCACACAGAAATAATGCCACATGAGACCAGAAGGCATGGCAGGATGTTAAAAATACCCTCAAACAGCAGAGGTGCAACAGGTACTCTGAGAGTGAGCTCTATCAACATCGGAGACCCGAGACTGTTCAACATGCTTCCACTACACATAAGGGGCATAACTGGCCGATCCCTCAGTGTTCAAGAGAGAACTCGATAAACTCCTCCAAAGGATACCTGATCAACCAGGCTGTGATTCCTACGTCAGGCTGCGAGCAGCTGAGTCAAACAGCCTGGTTGACCAGTCCAGCAACGAGGAGGCCTGTGCAAGGACAGGGCCGCGGGTACGCTAAGCCCCAAAACCATCACAAGGTAACTATAAGGTAAGTTATCCTTAAGGGTCAACAACACGTACCCAGTATGGGAAACCGTAGTAAGAACACTTGTCAAGGTCTTTTATGTTTAGGTTTGTATTTGGCCTAGGACCAGTACAGTAATTTGCACTGGGGCAAAATGACAATTAGTAGTGTTTACTAAACTCTACTTTTGGTATAAAGGGTGCCAAAGTGATTAAAGTAAACCAGCTTAGACCTACGTTGTTTTATTCGACAATGCGTGTTTACATTCTAAATACTGTACTCTTACAAATAAGGGTGATACATCTTATATGATAAAAGTTTTTGAAAGAGTGATTAGGAATCAGATCTCCAGTTTTATGGAGAAAAATGAACTTCACTACTCGGGTCAAATTGGATTTAGAGCGGTAAGATCCAGTTTTTGGAATTACTCAACTACTATGACAAATTCACGAAAGCATTAGATAAAATTGGAGATGTTGTATACACAGACTTTGCAAAGGCATTTGATAAGTGAGACTATGGAGTGATAGCCAATAAAATGAGATCATTAGGAATATTGGGTAAAGTAAGGCATTGGATTTAAAATTTTCTATCAAACAGAATGAAAGGGTAACAGTCGGTTAATCAAACTAGGTCCAAGTGCAGTGAAAATGCTCTGCTCACCTTGGGGCACAGTTCTTGCACAACGGCTATTTCTCATTCTATATCAGATATAGACAAAAATACTAGTCACAACTTCATGTCGTCCTTTGCAGATTATGCAAAAATCAGTGTGACAATTTTCTCTGTAGAAGTCACTAAAATAATACAAGCTGATATTATGTCTTTAATTGAGCAATGGCAAATAACATGTTTAACAGTGGTAAGTTCCTGTTATTTAGGTATGACTAAAATGATGAACAAGACACAATCAGACCTACACATAGATGGAAAATAACATACGAAAGATCTGGGAATTATGATGTCTGATGACAGGACATTTGGTGAACATAAGCAAGCAAATATAACATCAGTCAGAAAAATAAGAGGATGGATTTTGAGAACGTCTAAATCCAACAATCCCACAGCGATGTTAATGCAGTACTACGTATTTAAATCACTTCTGCCCCTCCTTAAGTACTGCTCAATACGAACTTTCCCTTTCGGGGTAGGAGAGATTTCTGTAATAAAGGGAATGCAGAGAACATGAACATTTCCTGTGCACATTTTTGCATATATGCATACGTTGTCATAATGGACTGTGTACAATATGTAGTTATGGGCAGAAATTTTATCGGTATGCCTATGAATTTAAATTTGAAATACTGTAAGTGTAAAAGCTTATGTTGACGAATTTCCTTTTTGTTTCAGTTCCCGGACCATAGCCTCAATAAATTAAACGAGCGACTAATTCTTTTTCGACACGATTACGACTCGCCAAACATCCTTCAGATCATCAACGCAGCTTCTGAAGTTACTCAGGACACTCTGGTCGAGATCGTCATGTCGGGTGAGTTTTCCTCATTTTTTGTTATATGTTTCACCTAAACTTTTGGTGTATATTATAGTGGAGAGACGCTACAGGTCTTGAGCTTCTGTTTAGAATGTCTTGTGCCACGAGTGCACAATGGTTGCTGCATGATACTACTGTATTACATTAATTGTTTTGTTGCTGTTCATTTTGATCTGCCTTAATGACAATTTTGCCAATTACAAAGATTAAATTATTTTGAAATTCCAGAATTACAGGATACACTGTGTACTGAAATGTTAAATATTACCTAATGTTATTATTTATATTACAAAAATATGCTCTACAACTCTACCCCACCCCCCCCACCCCTTTCATAAGTTGTAAATTATAACTGGTAGAATTCACCATTATAAGGTTATAGATGCATGACAAATTTTAGTTCATCCAATATTTTCCAAGTGGTTATACATCTGCTCTCTAGAGAATATAAATGTAAAATTTTAAGCGGTCCAATAATTTAGATGTTTTATTGACAACTACTTAATTTTTTTTTTTAAGTAACATGATCACTCCCAAATCCTGTATAGCTTTTTCATTTTATAGGGTGATTTTACTGCATTTTGTGTGCAATTTCCATTTTTATATTTTTGTTTTTACCCTACCAGTAATGCAGGAACTGGAACTTATTCTCAGTAAAAGATCTTATTTTTTCTGTGGACCATTGAAAGACCTGATTTACATCAGTTAGGAGTTTGTTCTCTGCTCATGAAAATTCTAGCATCATCTGCAAAAGATGATGCAAAGTTATAGTGTGTTCTTGTCTGTCTGATTTGAGGATAAGTATTGGAGCAAGTCCCTTGGGGGACTGAGTTTTTCATGGTGGATGATCCAGATTTTACTTGATTGACTGTTACAAAAGTATGCTTGATTATCCTAAATAAATAAATAAATAAAAATAAATATATATATAATACATACTCTATATTTTATGGTATGTATAGCTGCATATTCCCATTCTTAAATCAGTAATTATATTGTAATATGTTTGCAAAGATTAATGAAATACACATTTTTCAGCTCACAATCCATCCGATGAAGTGCAGATTCGGCCACACATGTTATATGTTCACTCTTATAAGACTCCTACATTTTGTGATTTCTGTGGGGAAATGCTCTGGGGACTGGTTAGACAAGGGCTCAAGTGTGAAGGTATGTACTGTAGCCTTGATTGTATAAGATTGTTTTATTGTAAATTATTGTGCAATATTAATTATATTGAAATGTTGCCTATTTGTTTAGGTAATTCAATTTTGAAGGACGAGTGCATAATAGTAAGAAATTTGTATCGCCCCTTCCAGACCCCATTTTGAATCCTGCTGCTACCCAAATTTTAAATTCTTAATTTCACACAGCAGTATTATGAAGTTCAGTCAAAACCAAGAATTATTGGGATTGGTTGGATCTGGCTGTAGTCAAATACTAATTAATGAGAACAAATCTTGATAAAATATATTAATTTAATTTTTAAATTCTATAGTGTATTTGTACTGTACCATATTGCAGGATGTGGTCTTAACTTTCACAAACGATGTGCCTACAAGATCCCAAACAATTGTAGTTATGCACGTCGTCGTCGTACGTCTATGCAACCTATGCCACATTCCCCATCAGACTCCCTTAATTCACTTCACAATCAATCATCTCTTGAGGGGGATGCCCCGGTGGTAAGGGACATGGCATCCCTAGCTGTCGTACGTATCTGTTTTTATTTTACGTAACTAATCATGGATGCATGTGGATGGGATGGTACTGTACTTGGATATACCCCATAGCTAAATTATAATAGGTGTTGATGCTTTAAATCTCCAATACTGAAGTAGGTGTGTGTTGGGAAAACAAAGCTGATTATTTCTCATTAACCTGCATGCCTTTCTGTTGCCTCCATGAAAATGTTATGAAGTCTTATTGAATTACTTTCCTGTTATTTGGTGACATTTATTATCTCATATATACTAAAGAGCATAGAAGTAAATGGAACTATTTAAAATTAAACTATAAAGTGAATGGACTGCCCCAGAAAAGTGTTTAAATCCTCAAATCTTAAAATATTAGTTTATTAGGTAAACAGAATAAGACCCCTGGAAATAAACAGTCATTAATTGTACATAAATTGTTATATTTTGCGTATTTAATGTGCATCTGTAAAAATGAAAAAAGGCTGGTATTAATGGTTTGCTGATTTCAGTAATGACTGACAGCATGATACCAGAATAATTATAAATAGGATAAAAAAAATAGCTTACTGAAGATGAAAGTGATGGTAATACTGTGCAGATATTATACGGTACGTTATGAGATACTAGTCATGAAAAAAGTATATTATGCAGTGTCAAATCAGCTTTGTTGATGATATAATCAACTGGAAAGGATTGTTACAAGCAAAATGGGGTGGGGGGGGTAGAAATAAGATTCCTACAAGACATATTTGCCCAAAATTTCAGTTGAAGATCTTAACCTACATTGTATTTTCAATTTGTCATGTGTGCATTGTTTTTTATAATGTACCATTTCAAATAATGTATATCATACCTAACGGAAATAACAGCTGGAGAATTGCATTGTACATTGTATATAATTTTCACACTGCTTTGTATATTGTATTTTAAGGTGTTCCTTTGCTTGGCACACATTTTTCACGGAAAGGAATCTATACCAATTATGAATTAATTTTAGTTCTGTGTGCAGTGTAAATCAGCTGGTGAAAATATTTCATTATAGCTAAAGGAACATGTATTAGAAATTCATTGCATATAATATAAATGAGTGTGCAATGTTTCTTATATAACGATATTGTATTTGACATTTTTCCTTCCTGCTTAATATTAGCTTGTGATCATATAACTAGAAAATATAATCTAAAATGTTTATTTCTTTACGGTATTATAATATTGATGTTTGTTCCTATAGAGTTTACAGTAATTAATTTAAACCGAATTGCAGTTTGTAAATGTCACAAACTATGAAATTTGCTTATTAAAAATATTTAAAGTGAAATTTATCTTGACCATTCATGAATTTTTAACATTCTGTTTCTAAGTACAAAACAAAGGAAGTACATACTCAGATCTTGCTCCGGATAATTTGAATGGAAAGCTATGAAATTTTGTCATAAACGGTCTTGTAGTACAGTGGTTATGTTCTCGACTCATAACTGGGGATCCCGGGTTAAATTCCTGGGGGGAGGTTGCAGTAATGGTTGGGCAAGTATCCTCTCACATAATGCATCTGTTCATCTAGCAGTAAATAGGTACCCAGGAGTTAGGCAACTGTTGTAGGGTTGCATCCTGGGGAAGTTGAGTAGTTCAACCTAGGTTGGGTCTTGATAGAAGCCTAAACTATATACTGTATATGTACACAGGTTTAAAATAAAAGTAAAATAACAACATACTGGAGTGAATGATATGGAAGAAAATGCAGAATAGAACCAGTGAAGAGCAGGGGTGCCATAGGCACAGAGAACATTGTATAAACATCAGAGGTCCACAGTTGTTCAACATCCCCCCCAGGGAGTATAAAAAATATTGCTGGAACAAAGGTGGACATCTTCAAAAGAAAACTAGTTTTTTCTTCAAGAAGTGCTGGATCAACCGGTCTGTGGTGGATATGTGGGCCTGTGGGCCACTCCAAGCAACAGCATGTTGGACCAAGCTCTCATAAGTCAAGCCTGGCCTCAGGCTGGGCTTGAAGAGAACAACTCCAAGAACCCTATTAAGCAGGTATCAAGAAGGCGTCTTGTCCCTGACAATGGAAATTGCAATGAGTGGTGTTACCATTGATATAAATGAAGGCCTTTTTGAATTAATAAATTGTATTATTGTAACTCTAATATTAAGGTATAAACAGAATAGCACAACTAGTTAATAGCTAGAGGTTGAGATGAAGGCTGAGAACCTTCTGTGGCTAGTAACTTCACGCTTCTGCAGCAGTAGCTCATGAAAGCTAAGAAGAAATTGAATTCAACCATACTTTTTTTTTATGTCCTAAAATTAATATAATAAAATTGTGTAACTTTTTTTCTTGCTCAAGAGAACCAAATTCAGAGTAAACGTTCTTCTGAAAGTCTTGTAACGTTTACATGATAAACTTCTACGGGTCTTTTGTCATTACCCATAATCAATCATATTTTGACATCAAATTCTGAAAATGCTTTTTCCAACACTTATGGAGTGCAGTAATGTATTGGACAAAATCACAACAATAATGCTGGAGGAAGAAATTATTATACCTGCAAATTTAAAGATTTATGCAGTAAAATAGTTACTATGTATTATCAGTATGTACATTTATTAATTTTTAAGCATAAAGATGATATACGTGGTATAGGGTTAATAATGAAATTTTACAAAAGGATCTAATGAACTATGTGCTTGTTAACAAAAACATGCTTGTATGTGTGATACCAGAGGATTGAGAGGAACATACGGAGATTTGTCTCATCACATTGTGCTGCCACAAGAAGATTAAATGAAACGGATAATCGAACCTCATAAGGATTCAAAATCAATGTCTGTCTAGTCATGCTGCCCTGGATAGGGAAGAACAATTAGTCCCTATCCTTATCTATTCAACCCTGTACACCCTGCGGTAATTGGGGACCTGGGTGAAAACTGATTGGTGGATCATTTTCCAGGGAAAGCTAGGTAAGGTGAGGCTTAAGATGAGCTGTATTTATAAAGAAGCCTTTAAGCCTGCTAATGTTAATCAGATAATGTTATCTGCTCCTGTACCAACCTGTAACTCCTCCCTCTCCTACACCGGAAAAAAATAACAAATATAAATAATGAAGAAAATAAGAGAACTTGTAGATGAGTACATAAGAAGAGGTGATAGTGATATTAGAGAGAGATGCTATGAATAAATCAACCTTAGGGCCATAAGATGTATGCCAAAATTGCATGATTATGAATGCCAAGGAAAGGTGTGGAGTTCCAGAACCTGTTAGATTGAGAAGAACTTCTTTGTGAGATGAGGTGGTGGTAACAGCCATTAATGATAAAAGAATGAGTGGCAAGAAAATAGAAGCATGATGAGAGTAATACTCCATGTAAAAAGTTTAGTTAAAAAGAGCTAGTGAGAGGAAAATGAAGAGAAAAATATTAAAAATGTGAAGCTCTCGTAATAAGAAATAAGAAAACGTAACAGGAAGACTTGTACAAGGTAAATGGAAATTTTAAAAATAAACATCAAAGAATATTCAAGGGTGCTGACATTAGAAATTAAGCCGAGAGAATATATTGAAAGTCTAGTTTGTTAATGTGATGAAAGTGGCAATAATGTGAAAGTGATTGGATTTGGTGCTAGAAGATTGGAAAAATTGTGACAGCTGACGTATCAATGACTGTAATGATTGTCAATGAAGTTATGGGAGAAAGCTGCAGGTGTTATAAGGTATATGCAGAAATTATAAAATACTTTGAAGAAAAAAGGTTGAAGTGAGTTTGGGAAATTTGTCAGAAGGGCATGGGGGATACTGTAGTAATGCAAGAAAGGATTGGAAAAAAGCAGTAATTGTTCAATTTGAAAAACAAAGGGGGAACATAGTGAGTAAAAATTTGCAACACTGGTTTACTAAAAGTAGCAAGCAAAGTGCATGGCAAGATGCACTTTTATTCTAGTCTAATTACTTTATATTAGTATTACTGTATTATTAATTTTTGTAATTTATATATTCATATTTTTATTTAATATACTGTAATAGGTTAATGTTGAATTTTCCCTCCAAGAAATGAAGGCCTTTATGCTTATTTTGTTAGTTGTGTGGCTAATGTAAATTTATTTCTATTTTAGTAATTGTTTTCCAAATCATATGGTGGCATTAGGTAATTTTCTTTTTATATTTGCTTCCAATTTTAAATATACTTTTATTTTCTCTCCTTTAATATTTTAAATACTTTTTGTATATTTTGATACTCTGATTGGGGACATGCCTCCATTTTTTTTTCTTCACTTCTTTGTTTCCATGAGCCATCTTGAATGCCATTTCAGATTGACCATAAGCTTGACACCTAAGTATTTCATTAACATAACTCATTTAGTTACAATATAAATTACCGTAAAAAGAATAGAGGAAACAGAGCAAGGTCTTTGCCCATGTGAGACGGCTCCTATTTATGTCCAACCAAGTCACTTGTGTATATGTTTTACCTTCACTTAAAATGGTGCTGTGATCCTAAGTCTTTCATTATGCAGTAATGGCTCCAAAAATCAACAATCCTACTTCCACAACAGCATTTAAACTCACCCTCATTCATTTATCTTCCTGTGTTCAGTGTGTGTATTCACTATGTTCAGGCTTTGTCTTTAAATGTATACATGTTATCAGGAAAGCTCTTTCATTATGATTAATTGATTGATTATTTATTAGCTACAGTAATTACAAATATTTAAAAAAAATGTTCTGGCTTTCATAATTTTAGCAGTAGCAATTGATTGAATTTTATTCTAAAAATATTTCCCAACTGGTTAGTCAGCTGTAAATGAAAGTTTTGTTAGATTGTAATTGATGCTGTAAGTTGATTTAACATTATTTTTATACTGATATACCCATTAGTGTTTTTTTTTTTAGCTACCTGCTTTTCACTTAGGAGCTTTCTATTTATAGTTATTGAGTGTCCAATTAGACAGCATCATGATGTTTACACCAGGGTGACATTCTGCACTAGCATAGCAGGAATCTTTACAAACATGCCTG